ACAACAAATAACTAGGAATAAATGAAAAATCCACCGGTAAAATGTTTACCAATATAGACATGTGATACATTATTGAAAAGCTTAGATTCTCCACAATTCAACCACCAAGTTAATTAACAAGCACCAAAGCACAATTAACACAGATATAGCAGATTTTTATGTTATTATAGGTGTAAAAATATGATATTTTGTTATATACACTGACTCTGAAAAAAGTGGAAAATACTTGCTTCATAAATGTTTTGTAGCCATCAAAATGCTTTAGTGTTATTCCATGGGTAAAACAGTGAAGCAAAGCATGGTAAAAGCATTTGGCACAATTTGGCACATCTCACTGAATTTTCATGTATATATTCAGAAACTAGAGGCTGTTAGCTTTCAAATAATGTATTGCACATGTAATTTGGGATTACAGTTCCTAAGTTATTTGCTTTTCCATTTGGGTATGCAAAACAGGCGAGAATTTCCCAAAATGAGGTGGCTATTAAAGCTGCAGTCTGTAACATTGAGAAGAGAGCAGACTTCGACTGAAAATTTGAAGAAAAACAGGTTTCACGGCACTCCCCCACCCTCTCTGCTTCACTCATGCCCCACCTCCAAGCCCCACCCCTCTCACAGCACCTGCGCGGCTACCGCATAAGACCAGAAGCGTCCAAGCAGCGTACGCGACATGGAGTGTGAACGGGTAAGAGCGATAACACTCACCTCCAAGCAGCTAGATATAAGATGCTGGTTTTACCGAAGTTTGCAGTGTAAGCAGTTGTCGGCAGGGGCAGTAAGGGCAGTTTCTCTTTCGCTGGTGGCTGTCGCTCCGCCATGACTTCCACGCAGGTTAAGCGGTGAGGGGGGGGGGAGCTGTGATTGACACTCCATCAGACGCTCCTCTGGCTGTGATTTGTTGTTTTGACTCGTCCCGAATTATTCTTTCCAGATTGAAATACAGGCAGTATGCGGGACCAATTGAAGCAGTTTTTTTCACAGGTTACATATCACATGTACTGCTGTCTGGGCATAAGGACAGTTTTAGCCAATATGACAAAAAAGTGATTTTTAAAAACTTACAGACTTCAGCTTTAAGAGGATTTATACATATTTAACATTTTTTCCTGAAAGTGTATTTATTGTTCAGTTTGTTATCAAATATACTTCAATAGAAGTAGGTATTTTACTGCAAACCCAAACTTTCTAAAATCAAGGCCAATATGACCTCCAATGAAACATTGCTGCTTGTCGAACAGCCAGTTGTCGGAATAAAGATTTCAGTTTTGGGGCTGTTGAAGAAGATAAAGATTAGATTTATTTTACATATTATGTAAAAGCAGCAGGAAAAGGAGTTGTAAAGAGTTTTATCATGGCAAGTAGTGAAAACAAAGACAAAACTCAAGATTCAAGCTTGAAAGATGTTCAAAAAACCGTGAAAAAAAGTAATACAAATGTCTGGAAGCAAAAATCCAAAAACATAAATCCACAATAATCCAAAAATACTGGACACCAGGAATACTCACAACAAGGGGGCAAAGAAATGACAACAAACCAGCAAAGAATGACTGAACAGGAGGAAAATAAATAGGAGAGAGACATAAAGACCAGGCTAATTAGCAGATTGGGAGCAGGTGTGAACAGAGGAAAGAAGGGAGCTGGGGAAAAGGAGACTGACACAAGAAGGCAAACTAGAAATATCTAAGAACTCAAATACAATCAAAAATAACTAGAACATAAGAAAGGAAATAAGACCAATGAAAACTCAGAGATAAAATTTGAACAGAACCAAAACCATGACAAACTCTCTGATGTGATCTACCTGCTCACACTGTATGTCATAAAACCACATGTCGGACAAAGCACTGAGAGATGCCGCTGGTTGGACTCATCAACATCCAGATGCAGGACATCGAAACTGTGGAAAGTTTTAAATACCTGAGTGTTTATGTCAATAACCAAATGGACTGGACTCATAACACTGATGCCCTGTATAAGAAGGGCCAGAACCACCTCTAGGAGGCTCCTTTTGAGTGAGCAGGCCCCTGCTTAAAACCTATGACTCTGTGGTAGTATCAGCCCTCCTCTACGCCTTTGTCTGCTGGGCCCCTGGCAACACAAAGCGGGACAAGAAGTGACTGAACAAACTAGTGAGAAAGGCCGCTTCTGTCCTAGGTTGCGCTCTGGACTCTGTGGAGGTAGTGGCAGAGAGGAGGTTGCTCTAAGCTCCCTTCCATCATGGACAACACCTTCCACCCTCTGCACCAGACTGTAGAAGAGCTGAACAGCTCTTTTAGTGAAAGACTTTTACACCCTGTTTGTAAAAAGGAGCGCTACCGCAGGTCATTTATCCCTGCTGCCACCACTCTACAATGCGACACTACAACTGGCCGCTCACACTGAGCCTGGTTCTGCTGGAGGTTTATTTGTGTTAAAAGGGAGTTTTTGCTCTCCACTGTCACTACAAGCATGCTTACTGTGAGGGATTGCATTCGAGTCAATGAGTCGATGCAATCAACTGGTTTTCCTTAGGTACTGTAGAAAACTTTGAATCAATTTGGCTGTATGATCTGGTGAACTGTAAAGTGCCTTGAGATAACGTGTTGTGAATGGGAGCTATATAAAGAATGGAGAATTGTTTCTTGTATTGTGTATTTCCTTTCTGTAAAATTTTGATACAAAATTCAAAGATTCAAAGTACTTGACTGATTACATTTTGATGGTGTCTTGTGTAAAGGACAGTCTTGTAAGCCTTGCCACAATAAAAAAAAAAACTGTCCAGAACTTTATTTTTTTGAAATTAGATTTTTTTTTTTTAAACGTGTTGGTGTAACCCTTTAGAAAACCATGCACATGAAAACAGACATATGCCTGAAGTTAAATTCCTCATCCTATCTTATGGTTATGACTGCTCTGATAGGGATGCAAAGTGTTGTCTCGTACAGGAATAACATCTGAGGCTAAGCTTGTCTGATTCAGAAACCTGAAGCAGTGTGCCAGGAAGCATCACATCCTCATTTACAAAATGGTGAATGATGTAACGTCTTCAGAAATCGTGTCATATCCCTTCAGTTTCCTCAGAATCCTCTAGTCTCTTCCTAATATATCTGTTTACGGATGACTTCCTTTATATATGCAATTATTTTTAATTTGCCACCATGTTTTGACCTTGTTCATTATTGTTTGGGAGTCTTGGGTTAATGCAGCCTGGTGTGAGTGCTGTATGCACCACAACTACCTTATCTGTGTTTTTGTGCTGTAACCGGGTGTAACAGAATCCGTCCTGCAACTGCCAGAGATAATTGGCACTCCATAAACACATGATAATTGGACCACTTTGATCCCTGCAATTTTGCTCTTCTTGGCCGAAAAGGCACAGCATTTCTGTCTCATGTTTTCCGCTGGTCTTTATGCAATAGTTAGAAGATAGAGAGGGAGAGAGATTTGGCTTTCTTCTGAAGTGTTAAAAGCTCCCTGCAGGCTTTACTTCCTGCACCCAGCACCAGCATTTTTTGCCATTGTTCCTCCGCTTCTTATGGCCATCAGTCATAACAAACTTTTTCCTTTTCCCACATTCAGAAATGCATGGCCTAATCAGTTTTTGCATCTTCTAAAAAACAACAACACATCTTTTGTTGTTTGTATGCTTTTCCCAAAGTTGTACCACTTTGTCAATGGGGTGGACTGGTGTCTCTGAACATTTTTACACAGGGAGAATATTTCAGATAAGGCCAACAATCTGCTTCCTGGTGACAAACTAATAATGTGCTGTAAGGTAAGGGCTTATTAGGCAAGTTATTTGTCTGTCTGGTTCACTGTGTCCTCATTTGTATGCTCAAAATCCTTTTGGGGAATAATCACAGTACAGGTCGCACTTTCATGGAGGAGGATCTGGATTTTATTGTGACATCACAATTGTCTTAGATATTTGAACGGAACTTAATGTTGAGCTTTCTGTACACAATTGGGACTATTTTGATTATCTCTTAAAATTAGATTTTAATAAAACTTGAAACAAGTATTATTTCGACCTTTATGTAAAAATAGTACAACCTTAATTTCCTTTCTGCATGTATTTTTTCATTTCTGTTTGTAGTTCTCTGCATGTGTTGGTGAATTATATCTTTTATTGCTACTACATAGCCTCTGGGTTTAGAGCTTCCTTTCATCACCATGCAGGCTGATTGTCATTCAGCCTGCATGGTGGCTCTGCTTTGACTCCTCTGATCCAGAAACAGGTTGCTGCTCCTCCTCATTCAAAATGTGCTTGTGGTTTTCCAGCTGCAACACAGGGGGCAGCAGAGGTCAACTGTACTCTACCTGATTTTTCCCCCTGGTCTTCGCCTGCTTCTCATAATTGAGTCATGCAGGGAAGAGGTTAAACTTTTGAGATATGGTAATGGCTGTGTTGTAATGCACACATCCATAAATATTTAAAAAGCATTGAAGTAGTGGTTTAAACAATTCTAATTAACCCTGTGGGTGAAAGGGAGATTATGTTTGAAAGTTTTCCCTCTTTGTAGCGATGCTGTATGCAAGTATGTTTAAAGTGTTTCCAAACTAAGCAGATTGACGGAGCACGGGGAGGAGCAGTGCTGAGGCTGATTGCACGACTCTTTCACATGTACCCATTATTTTGTGTGTTTTGTTGCAGGCAAGTCTCATTGGGACATCATTTGAGGATGAGGCTGTCTCTGTAGAGGATGAGCGGATGGAGATAGGGAGTCTTGTTGCAGGAAATTTATCCAGTCTCCTCACAGGAAGGAGGTGGAGTTATTGCTTAAGGAAGAAGAAATCATACTTGAATTCTTCCACAATTTGTCTTATCAAAACTAGAAACTCCAGTGTAGTTTATTGGGATTTCATTTCACCATAAAGTAATGCATTGAGAAAAGGGATAGATTTTACATGTAAAAATCTGAAACCTCCTTAAATGTGATGTCTCTAATGAAAATGCTTTTATCAGTGTCATGTTCGGATTAAGGTGTCTAACCCACATGCAGAACACTCGGAGGCAGAAGAAAAGTTCAAAGATTTATTTACAATAAATGTACAAAGTTTGATCAGATCCAGGAGGGGACTTGACTGGTCACGAGGGGGTTCAATAAATGTACACAGTTTGATCAGATCCAAGAGGGGGCTTGACTGGTCACGAGTGGGTTCACTGCTGAGGAGGACGGAGAGATTAGTGGAGGTCTGGGTGTTTTGCAGGTTGAGAGTGTTCAGGTCAGTACCTGTTCAGGAGTGGAGCAGAGCTGCAGAGGGGGGGAACCTTGAGGGTCCAGAGGTTGTCTGCAGGCTGAGGGCAGAGGCGGAGGCAGAGCTTACAGACTGCAGGCAGATCACAGATTGAGTTTCCTTCCAGTAATCTTCTGAGAGCGGGCAGGCAGATACTTGACAGAGACAGCTCTCCAGAGTTCTACTGAGAACAAGCAGACAGATCACCGGCAGAGAAACTCTCCAGAGTTTCAGGTATTCAGGCAGGATCAACCTGGGAAACAGAGAGGAGAAAACGGGATCAGGTTTGGTTCACAAAAGTCAGAGATCACAGACAGGCAGGTTGGCTCAGGCTTGCTAACCATTACTGGCAAACACTCTGGCACTGGAGTGAAGCCCTCCGCCTCCTTAAGTACAGATCTCCTGATGAGCAGATGAGAGACAGGTGGTGTGGCCGGCTCAGGCTCCAGGAGATCTCGTACGCCCTCTGGTGGAGAAAGTGGACAAAACTCCAGATCCCAACAATCAGTCCACACATTTATAGTTTAAACTTGCTGTAAATGTAGCTGGAGAAATGGAGAACTTTACTGAAACTCGAGATAATTGAAGAAAAGGGTTGGGGGAAACAGGGAGAAATTTTATATTAGCGTTGGGATATTCACCTTTATCCCAAGTTATGAACATCACATGAAGAAACTGTGCTCAATCTACCATCTGAAAATGGAAACAGTTTGACAGAGCTAAAAATGTACCCATGCCTGAAAATCCAACAAAATGGAAACATTTGCAAGAAGAGGATTAATCAATTAGCAAGCACAAGTATTCTTACTATACACTACTCTGGCCTTAATGAAGGAGTTGTGACAATTAAAGCATCTAAATTCCTATTTGCAGTTTGCCACATGCCAAGTAGGGTCAAAAGCAATGCAAGATGAATCAGTTTTTCTGGTTTTAAGTGCTTTAGCCTACAAGCAGTTGCTGTTTCCAAAGTAAAGCTAACACAGTTCATTACCCTGAAAGCAATATCCCCAGAGTCAAGTGGTCCTGGTGGAAGAATCATGCAGTGGGGATTCGTGATATTAATTGGTAGAGATACATTGGTGGATTACAGCCTTTAAAAATAAACCAAACAATGGATTAGGTCAAAGAAACTTCTAGTCTAAATCCAGTCAGACATTTATGGCAGGACTTAAAAATATTTTAATTTAATCCTACTGGCATCAGTTTGTTATATAAAAAAAAAAGTCAATCAGGCTGTGGGGAGGTGATGAACTGCAACCACGGTGACAAATTTTGAAAAGGATCCTCGATGCAGATGCATGATGCACCTTATAGGTATTTCACAAACAAAAATGACAATTACTTGTTTTTCTTTTTACTACATATTTATTTTTAATTGTTTTGTCTATCAGAAACAACCAAATAAAATAAAGAACGAAACATGTTTTTGACATGAAAAAATGTGACCAAAGTTGGCACGTTACATATATGTTTTGTTATTTTAATATTGAGTTACCATTGCAGGTAATTTCCAATTGTGGATACAGTCAGAATATCCTAAGAACAATGGAGTCAGATGATCTGACAGGAGTGCATGCTGATACTGAGAGGCAGCAATGTTTTAAAATTGGATCAAGCATGGGCTGGAAGGCAGTTTGATAAATAAAAAGGGCAATCTGGGAGTGGGATGCGGCGTTCCACAGCCATGTAACTGCCAATATTGAGGTCTGGTCCTGTTTTCACACCAACACATGGGCAGGATGCTTGGCAGATTTAATTTCTGGGTGGGCTGTGGCAAGTGGCTGGTGTTAGGAAAGTGTGGAGCGGGTGTTTGAATCTCCATTCCTGGTCTGTCTCCATTAGAAAGTGATGCCCAGTGTTTACTGTCAGAGACCTGGCTCTGCTTTCGTCCAGATGGTCCCATCCCGCATCTGAGAGAGCCTTGTCACCCCAGAGCCCAGATCTCCCTCTCTTTTCTCTTCTCTTATCCCATCCTCTTTTTCCACGCCATCTTATCTCTCATTCATTCGCTCTCTTTCTCCTCTTTTTAGTTTTCCTTTCATGTCTTGCTGTGTCCCACTTTGAACATAATTTCCATCAGTTTCTTACTTTTCCCCCTACTAACACCCACATGTCCCTTGTCTTTTCCTCTGCTCTGCTTCTCTATTTTCCTCCCCTCCCACTTTGGCATCTGTCATTATTTCTTCCTCTTTTAGGTTGTATGGTAGAATGTCAGAGAGGCAAAGCCAAATCAACCTCTGCTCATGACCTCTGGCTCCCATGACCAGTTCAGTTGCCTCTGGAAACATTAGTATTCAAATTCAGCTCAGGGAATCAGCTGTGTGTCATGTAGAGTAGGGCCCAAACAACACAAGCGCTTCATTCTGTCTACCTTTTGTCTCTCTCCTCCTCCACTGCTGCTAAAAAGTCTTGAACACTCAAAGGTATTTAATGACTACTATTTAATGGTTGTCATTAAAGGTGCCACATTAGCTGTCAAAAATGAGATATAAGAACAGAGAATAAAGAGACTCAGAGTGAAGTGATTGGTCAACTCAGGAAAAGTGGGTACTTTGGAGGGAGAGAAAATATGAAGGATGCAAGATTAATACATGAGGCCAAAACTGGATTCTTAAAAGCATACAGTGAAATTGAGTGAACAAATGTCAGAAAACTTAGTTTTCATTATTTACCCACAGGTGGAGGCTGGCAGTGTTAGACTTACCATCCTAGAAGGCTGTTTTGAGTGACTAAAAGGAAGGAAGTGGTTGTTTTGGAGGGAAAAAAAGTTTACAGGAACTCCTACCTGTCAGTCATATTAAATTGGCTACTGAGAAGCAGGGGAACGGATTAGACCACCCTAACTTAGCCAGAGGTGAAGTTGAGGATCTGCTGCAGATGGACACTTTGTGCTGTGATGGCACAAGGAGACAACCAACGGATTTGGCAGGTCATTTATTGACAGGTTTGCAGGTGTATTTGTGATAAACTGAAGATTTTGTCCTCTGCGTCCACCTTCTGCTCTGTCTCTCCACTGCAGATGGCTCCAGGTCTGATTATTCACCTCTGCTAGTTAACAACCATTTACAGAATATCCCTAATCAAGAGGTTGATATTCCTAATGGAAATAAGAAGAGGTTATTATAGAAATTATTTTAATCAGTTGTTTGTACCCTTCCCTGAGGGAGTCAGAGTTGCTGTCTCTCTTTGAAGTTAACTTGTTTCTCTTTGTGAATCTGATGCTTTTTACTCAGCCTATATTAAGCACTTAAATACAGATTGCATGTTTTCATCGTTCAAATGTTGGCTTCTGTATTGCATTTAAGTCAAGTTAAGTCTTTGGCTTTATTTAAATATTCTTAAATGTATTCATTTGACATAAAAGTTAAAACAGAAATCAATTAAGAAACAGATGGAATATTGTGTAACTCCAACAATGATAAACCTATTGGAGAGTCCACAAATGAAGAATAATATTACACACAGAGTGAATAGGTATTGATTTTACTGGCTTTCTGTTCAATTTGCAGACACTCAGTAAGCTGAGACTCCATTGCTAAAAAGCACAGAGTATGAGTGAGATGGGAGGGGCATCTTACAGTGTTCACTGTTTTGTCGCTTAAATCTTCATGTAATTGGACAAATATTAAATCAGAAAAGTATAACTAGAATAATTGCATAAACTGTAATAAATAAATTAGATATGAAACAGAGCTATTTTAACTAACCCGATCCTTTCTTTTAGAAAGTAATACTATATACTGAAATAACTTGGAACCATTCAGCCTCATTCGTCAATTTCATGAAGCAGGCTTACTTATGATTACTGCCAAATCCTCCATTAACCATTATTTCAACCTGGAGAGATTCACAGACAAGAAAATAAGCAACTAGAGAATTTTGTTGACATGACCCCAGAAGAAAACATTGGTGCTGAATAGATATTTCCCCCTGGAGTCTGATACTGGAGGTGGAATGGAGGCTGGAGAAGGAGCACAGCCATAGAGAGGCCAGTGGAATGAAGGTTGTTAAGAGGTGGAAGATGATGGCAGTTTATCCGGAAAGCCAAAGCATCTTTTGCTTTGGAGGATTAAAAGCAAAGTCTCAATCGACGACTAGCTTCAGTGAGGGCCGGAAGGTATCCTAATATGCTTGAGCAAAGGTACACAAAGAGGCGACTGGGATACGGGTCTTCCAGTTGAATTTATGCCAACGTTTCAGATAACTTAAATAGAATCCTTTCTGAAAACAGGAAATTGAATAAAAGTTCTTAAAAAGCAGCACATGAAGTATGGAAGACAAAATGTGACATATTTCAACATAAAAAAAAAAAAATAATTCAGAATGTTTCATACATTTTTTTTTTAATCCTATTAAATGCACTAATATACAGCAAATAAATGAATACATGGATAATTAAGTTATTCAATGCAACATAAATGTATATTTCTCTTTTAATAAACTTCTTTATTTATTTAACTTTGTAATAATTACCTTATTTGTTTGTTATAGTTTTAATTTTCATTTTGTTTAAATGTTATCAACTGCTTTTATTGTTACAGAATTCGTCCCAGCTCATTAGCATCGGCTTATTTTAGCTCTGTTTTCAGAGGAATTTTCTGTGTTTCATCCTTTATTCTAACACATTTGACAGGGGAGATGGAGGATGATATGTCCACTCCAGGGCTTCTGGAGTAAGGTCCACTTGGCAAGTGGACACCGATTTGTAATTAATTTAGTGCACCTCTAGATGGGGATAAATCTAAAACACTGTCCCTTTAAAGAGTAGGTAAGCTCTCACTAGTGTTGCATATTCTGGTGAGAAAACATTTGATTAACTTCTTTAATGTTAAAAAGTAAAAAGTTAAAAAGTATTTCACAAATACCTGGTAAAAACTGGTAAGGGTCGGCCCATGGATCTCTATAAGGAGCCATAAAGCACTTATCTGTTTCCTGTATAGTTCAGCAGCTCGAGTATAAGCAGGTTTTATTCAGACCTTTTGACCTCCAGAACAGGAAATAGTTTGATTCACCAAGAGGATTTTGAGCTGTTGAAGTAACTGGAATCCCAG